TTGTCTGTCTTGGGAGATGCAGAACACGTGTATCATCGGGAATAGTGTCTAGAGTGAGAGTGATTACAAATGAGAGCAGCTGTGTCGAGATGGGGCCAGCCTTGGTGTATTATGTGTGTTCTGTGATGCGGACTGGGTTCTGGATGCATGTTTTTTTAGTATTAAAATAAAATAACAAACTTGTAAGAGTAGGTTTATGATGGAGGAGAGATTGACCGATGGTGTAAGAAGTGTGTGCATTCCATCCTGGAGTGCAATTGAAATGTTTGCCAAGTGGCAAATTGATGCCCTTCTGGCACTTGGAGTGATTGATTAAAGTTCTTTAAACACAATGGGAATCGTATCTGGCTGGGAGAAGTTTCAACGGACAGTTCTAGAATGGCACAGATGGGTTTGAAGTTTGAACTTTGAGGTATGTTAGCTGAATGAAATCGATACTTTTTAATTTTTTTTCCTGAATGATTGATACTGTAAAATGGCCTTTACCCGTTCAGACCCTGAATGACGAACGCAGCATAATGGGGCCCACTCGGCCAGAACTCAATTCGTGAAAAGCAGATGAAAAGACATGGTTCTCTGGGTCGAAAGTCGCATCCTAACTGAAGTGAGGAGTTGTGTCAAAGGTCACAGTCGTGCCCCAGGACGAACAGTTGCAGCGTTCAATGGTGAGAGTCACGTCTGTTCGTCCAGGGGGCTGTGCAAGTCATGTCTGTTCGTGCAGTAGATGTGTCTGTTCGTGCAGAAGTTGTGTCTGTTCGAATGGAAGTCAGTGAGGTAGAGTCCCAGTCCAAGTCAAAAGTCCAATAGGCAGTCCAGAGTCAGACCCAAAGTCCAAAAATCTGGCCTAAAGGCCGCAGCAGCAGCAGAGCCTGAAGGAAAGGTACTGGGACACATTCTGCAGTGGTCTGGGACTGGGGAAAGACCCAAGGAAGATTGATTCGGACCTCGTGAAGGGAGGCCAGCACTATAAGAGACTAGGCCAGCCTCCGCACACGACAGATCTCCACTGGCATTGATGCGTGGAAGTGCTGAAGCACTTGTGCGCTAGCATGCAGGAAGAATGCGCTGGCTGGAAGCGGCGCAAGCAGGAGAAGAAGAGGCTGGGCGCTGACTGGCAGAAGCAGCCATAGCTGCACCAGCATTATTATTAGTAGTAGTAGTAGGGTTAGTAGTAGACATCAGTGATCAGCACTCAGAAGAGATCCTCATAAGTAGGGAGTGAGCATGCAGAGTGCGACAAGGGAACCAAGACAGGGATCTCGTGAGAGAGAGAGAGAGAGAAGACAGGTTAAGGAGTTGGATATGGTGGATACTTACCTGTTGGCGCCATACCTGTGATCTGAGGGCAGACGCTGGCTGAGCCAGGCCCTATATCGAGTATGGAACGAAGGAGACTTGTACTCTGTTGGCGCTGAACTCTTGGACTCTAGATGCTCTTTGTATAATGTTGTTGTGATAATATGAGCTGCGCTATCTGGTTCTTCATCTCATCTCGATTTTGCTACGTGTGAAGTTTCTCTATCTGTATGATGACATTTATGTCATGTTTCCAGCAAGCTATGAACAGTCAGGTTCCTTGCAACTGAGTGTTTTTGCTAACAAAGAACTCTGGTGTTTGGTTGTCCCCGTCGTGTCTCTGCTATTCCCAGGCATATAGGATCTTGTCAGACCCTCTCAGCCGAGGCAGATACGACGTAGCCGTAGCAAGTCATGCTGAGAGACATCATAGTAGAAGCAGGTCAGTTGCCTACGCGTCGTAAAGAAGGGAATCGAAGTGGCGACGATCGGTTCTTTGTCTTTCCCAATTTGTTTGTCTTGGACGTCGTTCTGCCTCTCGTTCTCCCCATTTTATGCAGCTGCTGCTTCTTTGTGTTTTTTCCTTCATCACTCAACCGGTGATGAATTGAGCGTCTGCTTGACTACAGTCAGGAGCTCGACAATGGTAATTTAGCCTCATGATTGAGAGAGAGAGAGAGAGAGAGAGAGAGAGAGAGATGAGAGAGAGAGAGAGAGAGAGAGAGAGAGAGAGAGAGAGAGAGAGAGAGAGAGAGAGAGAGAGAGAGATTTGGGTTGACGTCAAGCAGTGCAGGTTTGGACTTTCGAGCTGAGGCTCGCGCCTCCGAGGTCGGGGTTGGGGAGGGGTCTTCAGCTCCGTCCACTTTGTGCGCTGAGGTTGCTGAGGCTTTGAGCTGGCGAGCTGCGGGCAATGGAACTAGAGTTGAAGTGTTTGACTATTAGAGGGTGGAGTTCAGGAGTATAGAAGTGGACCTGTTTTTTTTGGGTCATTTAGTATTTTTCTTCTTTTTTCTCTTTTGTCATTTAGTCCTTTTGGATTTTCTTTTTCTTTTTCGTTTTTGTCGGCTAGTCTTTCGCGTGATAGAAGGGAACAAATCCGAACCATAGATCGCTAGTCACTGCACATCCGGACAAGTCGTCAAACGCGATCAGGACGCCATAATTGTTTCGGGAAGGTGTTGAAATTCCATGAGCTTTGCGGGAGCTCAACTCGGGTAGGTGGAATGCCATGCCGTCGGGGGCGCACTACCGACAGGCGACGAGAAAGTGGGATTTCTACCTTATTTTATCCAGTTATGTGGATATTTGTGATATACATATACATATATAAATATAGGGCATGATGGTGACTGTAAATTTGTACTTTTGGACTCAAAAATGTCTTTTTTTCTGAATAGATGTGTCGCACCGAGTTTGAGATCGGAGCTGCGGCGTGGGAAGGGCTTTTTGGTAAAATTGTCATGGCAGCCGGCGCATGGCCGTAAATTTTTCAATCACAATTTTCGCCGTATAAAATTGTGTAGGCGATCCGCGCTCTCTGCCAATATGGTTGTCTTATCTGGCAATGCTCCACTGTGCAACATTCTACATGCATTTGGACAAGGCTATGGACCAAGTGCATTTGGACTTGATGGAACGTTTTGAATGTACCGGGACCATCACCACCCTCTTGATTCATTTTTAATGTTGTGCAGCAGAGCGAGGCCCGTTATCTCTGGCAATTTGGTCTTTATCCAGTTCTCTAACATCCACCAGTTTTGTTAGACCCAGCGCGACAGAGTTTTGCAACATGACTTGAGCAGTGATAGGCTGAAGGACAATGAATCGCTCGCTTGGTGTGCACAGCTTCTACGTGCATCAGTGTATTCGCTGTGAATAGTAAAGCCCTTAATACAACATTGCTATATCAGAGACCTTACCCAGTTTGACTTTTGAGGAGATCTTTCGCCCATCATGTGGTGGATCGTGTCAGGTGGAATCAGTCAGCGTTGACTTTTTTGCCAGTTTGACTTGAATCAGGTCAACGCTACGTGCTGGCGTGATGTTGTGGTTGTATTCACTCAAGTCAAAATGCAACAATGTGTTTAATCCAGTCAGACAAAGACGACGGAGCTTGCCGGAATGTGCAGCCATATGGGGTTTGCTGTGATTGGTTTGACTACTAACTTTGACTTTGACTTTGACTTTGACGCCGTTCGTTTCCGGTTGGCTTTCATGGTTTTCGACGGACCTTATCCGGTTTTGCGATATTCACCTTGTCGGCTTGCCTGGAAGTTTGCTGACCCTGCTCACAGTATCACCTAGTTGACTTTGACTTTTGTCGTTTCCTGATTTGACCTTATCCATTTTCAGATTGGTGCTTCCCCCCCCCCCCTCCCCCCCCTGAATGGCATGGGGGGGAGGGGGCTCACTCATTATCACTTAGTATAGGAAACTGTTCAGCTCAGCTTGCATCGGCAACGGAGCTGTGCGCAAGCCCCAACACAAGCAGCCCCACTGTAACAGATTGAGCCGGACGACGCACGTGCACAGACACACACGCACGCATAGGAGAGAGAGAGAGAGAGAGAGAGAGAGAGAGAGAGAGAGAGAGAGAAGGGATTGAGGGAGGAGTGTATGTGATGGCTAGGCCAGATGAAAGGAGGCAAAAGGAGCAGAGAAGTGCAGTTAAGGGTGTAATAACACATATGACTAAGCGGAGACTCGGAGAGGAAGAAATGCCAGCTGAGACTCGTTTCTTTGTCGGACAACTACGGGTAGTAATGTCTTTTTTTTTTAGTGTTGGCATTTCAGTTGTTGGTTACGGTCATTGAAGTTTATAGAATCAGATCAGTAGGGAAGCACAAATTTTGGTCAGCACTTAATCACATTCACTTATGTTAGCAGAAAAGCTGTTATGCGGAGACGAGGATTCCATCGGAAACAGGAGTTCTATTGACACAGCCACCTCCAGCGCAAAAACTGATGTGCATCTGACTGTGTCTCTCAGTCTGAGTGTGTGTGTGCCGTCTGTGATTGGTGCGTTCAGTGCAGATTTCAACTTTCTGCTTTTCTACTGGATGATGTGACAGATGTGCTGCATTTCAAATGCAGACACATTGGGTATTTTTTCTCTCCCTCCCCCCCCTCCCCCCTTTCCAGGGACATGATTTTATTGCGTCGTCGTGTAGGTGGTGTGTGGTGGCCTTCAGCTGGTGCAGCAGGATTTTGGGTCTTGACTCTTGAGCCTCTTCACTTCTACTAGATCCCTATAGAACGTAGTCCCTTGAGGTACAGCACTACTTTGTACCTTGAGGTACATATTAACTGTTGTCCTGTCGGGAACATAACGTTGCACCTTCAGGTACAGAGCATTTTGCTTCAGGTGCAATTTTCTGTAGATTCTGTACCTCGAGGTGCAGTGTTTTTATTTTTTGTTTTGTTTTTTGTTTAGGGTTTTTGTTTTTTGTTTTTTGCTTTTTGTTTTTTGTTTTTTGTTTTTTGTTTTTTGTTTTTTGTTTTTGAACGTCTTCAGGAACACAACTTCGTACATTCAGGTAAAGGACTTCTGGCTTCAGGTGCAATTTGCTGTAGACTCTTTACCTGTCTCTTATACACATCTAGATGTGTATAAGAGACAGGCTGTAGACTCTGTACCTTCAGGTGCAATTTGGTGTAGACTCTGTACCTTCAGGTGCAATTTGCTGTAGACTCTGTACCTTCAGGTGAAGTTTTCAGGTACACAATTATTTTTTTTTTAATGTTTTTGACACCCTTTTGTGGCCAGGTGCAGTGGTTTGCACCTTCAGGTGCACAACCGTATGGCCCGCTCAAAAGTACATAATGTTGTGCGCTGAGATACGCGACTTTTCCTCCCTCTTTTTTCTTTTATTTTTTTGCTTTTATTTTTTGGGGTTGTAAAACTGGGATCGCTTTGCGGTCAACCTGCTGCACCAGGGAAAGACACTTTTTTTTTTTTTTTTTTTAATAGAGACCCCTTTTGTGCCTTCTTGTAGAACAAGTTTCGATGTCAGGTGCAATAGTATGAACTTTGAAGCATCAGACGAAGTTTGTGAAACTTCTTATGCACCTTCAGATCAAGCGTCTGAAACTTCACCCACAGGACTTTACGCCGTCTGGTCCACGACTATTTTTCTTTTTCTAATCGTCGAATCTCCGGCTTTGTTTATATTGCAACTGAAAAAGCTCCTGAGCTTTGTGTCGTCAGGTAGAGACTCGAGAGTCGATACTTTATAAGCCTTGCGGTACAGCAGGTGGACTAGGTGCACCCTGCTGCCTGCATGCCTTCAATTGCATGCTATCAATTTGTGAAACTTCGTATGAATCTTCAGGTGAGCAAATTCCTGAACTGTGGCCGTTCCGTTGCACAACTCGTCAGCCTCTGCTTGAAGGCGCTAGGCACTTTTGTTTGTGCCTCCTGGTGTATGGACGGGACTTTGCACGGCACTCCGGGCCTTCTGGTGTATGCCACTTCTTTGGGACTTCAGGTGTACAGACCGCACGTTGTTCCATTGTTGTGGTGCTCGTCTTGAAGAGGCAGAGGCAAAGACGCATGACACACCGACTACGCGCATGAGGGCACACGTCGAGGACATGACAACGCATGTTCAAGTGTGGAGAACCACCCACCCACGACCAGATGTGCACCGGTCACTGCAGCTTCTGACGTCAGGTGAAACGGAGGACGTGGATAAGCACGAGAGCAAGATCCAGTTCCCGACCTCCTGAGTATATGGTGGTGCTGGTTGCGGCACGCTTCCTGATGGAAACAGCAGCGGAAAGAGCGGGTCACGGATATACTCCATGCCATCGTCATGTGCCAAAAGGAGCATGGGTTTAGTAGAGTCTGGGTACACCGGGTCATGGATATACTCCATCCATGCGGGGTTGGGGTGAAAAGTCCCTCCCCAAGGGGCTTCACTTCACATTCATCCCAGCTCACTTTCCTGTTGGTTAAGTCTTGTGTTTTTTGCAAGCAGCTGCAAGACGCTTAGCGCACACTTTAAGTGAATGACGCAGTGTGTGCCTGCAGAAGCTAAGCAAGCACTCCGATGGGGCAGAGACTTTGGCAGGCGCGGAGCAAAGAGCATGGCTTTCGAGTGCAGGGTGGGGACATTGTACGTCTACGTGCACAAGCTCACACCGACTAAATCAGTGTGTTCGTCATTCGATATGAGGAGTGGATCGAGCCAGAGCGTGCCACCAGCAGCAGAGCACAGCTTATTGTTTTGGCTCGCAAGAAAAGAATAACATAAGTAGGGCTAGCTCCAAAGACCCTCACTTGTCGGGGATTTGGTTTCTACCACCCGGACATCCGAGGCTTTTTTTTTTGTCGAGGCAGATTCCCCCTGTGCGGCAAGCTTTGCCAGAATGCCGGCGCACGTTTTTCTTCTCTTTTGCCTGGCGCCGTCAGCCAGCCATTCAGCCATTTTGGTCCAGCAGCGCCGAGCGTCCAAAATTTTTGGATCGGTTCGATTAAAATCGATTACGATTCTCAGCTTTGCCTGTGGAATGTACGGGCGGCGTAACGCCTCCAAACCTCATGATGGTCTAGGCCCTATAGGGTTTAGGGCTACAGAGGGTATATAGTACTACATACTATGTACTGTGTTGTGCATGTCCCGGAGGAGACGGTGGCACAGGGATAAGCATGCTGTCGGCTGAGAAAAAGAGCATCCCTTCAGGTGGAGGGGAGCGCGGACAGTGCTTCTGCAGTGGGAGGGGGCAGGGGTTAGGGGGGAGGTGACGAACCACCTGTCTTCAGGTTTTACCAATTTTGTAAATAATAAAAAATATGATTTACATATCACAAATATATACATACATCAGAGCATATAGCGCTCAGACATACCGACATCATTAGTGACTTAATAGGGTCTTGTCGATGGCAGGGATACATATTTTCCATCGCTATTACATGTACCAGCCAGCGCAAATGCCATGCGAAAGATTGCCTAACATAACTCTGCGTTCGCGGTGCACCTGTCGGGCAGTAAACGGGGAGAGAAAGGGGGAGAGGAAGGGGAAGGGGGAGGGAGAGGGAGAGGGAGGCAGGGGGGTTATGGGCTGTTGTCCAGATGTCAAAATAGGTCAGTCTGACACATCTGACGTTATCTGTTCAGTCGATCGCTGTGATGAAACCCTCTGACGCATGCAGACGGCCCATCATAGCCGGGAATAGGGGTTATAGAACTTGTAGGTATGCAGCGGGGATTTGGTAAGAGGGATGCCAGGCTTATGGTACATGTGGGAACCTTGTAGAGTATACAGGGCCGTATAAATGGCGATCCACAGGAAAAAAGAGAGAAAAACGTCTAATCCAATCGTGCACAAGCGATGGGACGAACGAATATTCACAAGGTGTCAGGGTAGTGTATGACATGCATGAGCTCCTGGGGGGCACAGCGATGCACAGGAAGGGAGTGGTAGGTGGTCAGGATTAGGGTGAACGAGGATGCGCAGGAAGGGGGAGGTAGGTGGTCAGGATTATGGTGAATTGGGGAGAGAATTTTGAAGGATGCAAGGATTCCATGATTGGTGGGTTGGAGAACAAGTCTTAGAGAGGAGGAGGTTGTTGAGGTGGTGCTATCGGTCTTCGAGGGAGTGCATCGCAACCGTCAAAAATGTTGAGCCCGATCAGCGACTTTGTGCGCTGGGCTTGTCAAGTGAGATCATCTGCCTTAATATAAATTGGAAGCGTGGTTCAGCCCCATAGCGAGAGTCCCGTCGGTCCCGTCATGGGGTTGATGGGAATTCATGTCCCATTGCGTGCTGGCTGAGGGGATAAAGTCCAACACTCTCTCCACAAGAGTCCCTGCCGTGCAATTTTCCCATTTCATGTAAACGACACGACATGTGCGGAGCGGATGTGAGGAAAAATGCTAGGTAAACATTTCCATTTTCAATTTTTCAACCGATTGGGGAATCTGCTGAAGGGTTGAGCTATCAGAAAACACAGGCTCAACTGGTCGCATATACAGCATTGAGTGCTCCTCCCTCTGGCAGCGTTCTTTTCGAAAATGATACAATATCTTATGTCAAATGTCTCTCTCTCTCTCTCTCTCTCTCTCTCTCTCTCTCTCTCTCTCTCTCTCTCTCTCTCTCT